TCTAGAGTCTACACAAGAACCTACACTAGCAACAGGCAACTGAGCAAGACTAGCACCTAAGCTAACAACACCAGAGTAAACAGAGTCAGAAACACTAGAGTCAACAACAGCATACATAGCATGAGGAGCACTAATCAGATCAACTAACTGCTCAGCAGACATGCCCCACAGAGCGGAGCCGTAGCGCTGAACCAGAGGAAGCCAGTCAGGAGCAGGACCGCCAACCCCGTAGGCCAACCGGACCGTGTCAGTGAGCTGAGCAAAGCACTGACCAGGGGGGTGAAAGCGGCCACAAGGGTGGCCCCGACGAGGACCTGCCTGAACCTGGTAGGGGCAGGGAGGGTAAGCAGCACCGCGCTGGGGCTGACGCAGCCCCGACCCCGGAGCCAGCTGCTGACGCTGCTGCTGCTGAGGCTGCTGGGAGGAAAGGGGCTGCTGCTGCTGCTGAAGGTGCTGCTGACGCTGAGCCTGGTACCACGCCGCTGCTCCACCTAGCGGGGCCGGCAGTACAGGAGGCGACTGACGAGCTCGAGGGTCGCCGCCACCAGCAGGTGCAGTGGAGTCACCAGCCGCTGCACGAGGGGTCTCTCCAGACGCTGCACTCCCACCACCGCCAGTCGCAACAGCACCCCCACTACCTCCGCTACCTCCGCCTCCACCTCCACCGGAACCACCTTTCTTGCCCCCCCTGCCGCGGGACCGCGACGCAGTCGTAACAGCAGCCGCAGTCGCGTCAGTAGCGGCAGTGGCAAGAGAGGCAGTGAAGGTGGGTAACTGCGGGACTGTGCACCCGTGGAAGAGTGGGGGGGACACAGTACCAGAGGCGGCAGCTACCGAACGAAGGTTGCTCTCGACGTCCTTGAGTGCAGACTCAAGGACCTCGATAGTCAGCTCACTAGGGTGCTTCAGCAGAAGCGCGTCACGAACGGAGGCAAGGCGGTCAGGGAGGCTAGTGGCGATGAAATAGACAGTAATCGCCATGGGGGGAGGAAGCAGTGCAAGCTGTGCCTCAGTGCAAGCAGCGCGGTAACTAGCGTCGAGCGAGCGGAGGTGAGCGATCAAGTCAGCAGAGCGCTCAAACGAGGCAAGATCAGGAAACAGGAACGGGAGGAAAAGACAGCCAAGAGAGACAGTAGCGGGAGTAGAGTAGCGGGCCTTAATCGCAGTGAGGTACGCAGCAGCGGTGCGAACCTGAGTAAAGTGGACCTCCTCGGACTCAGGGAGGAGGCTGCTGAGTGCGATGCAGGCCGCAGCGTCACGCGACGTCCAAGCCGTCCGGTCAGCGCGCTGACGGGCAAAGCGAGCCGTAGCAGCGTCGTCAGGAGCAGGGCCTAAAGCGGTAGGCTCGGGGGGCTCGGGGAGGTCACTAGTAGCGTGTGACCAGAGGGTCTCGCCCCCCTGGACCTGACTCTCTAACAGACGACGAGCGCGAAGAAGCCAGACGGAAAAGTCAAGGGGTCTACCGTCAGCGTCGAAACGAAGAACTCGCGGAGTCGCCATAGTGAGAACCAACGCGAACGAACAGGCGAGTAACAACCGGGGGGGAAGAGGACTCGGTCGCAGCGGAAGAGCGGGCTAGGGCGACGGGCCAAAACGTAGGGTAGGGCAACGGGCCAGGGCCTAGGGTAGGGCGACGGGCCAGAGCCTAGGGAGGGCGACGGGCCAGGGCCTAGGGAGGGCGACGGGCTAGGGCCTAGGGAGGGCGACGCGACGGGGGAAAGGGCGGGAGCGACGCGACGGGGCAGGGCGACGCGACGGGACAGGGCGACGCGACGGGGCAGGGCGGCGCGACGGAGCAGGGCGACGGGACAGGGCAGGGCGACGCGACGGGGTAGGGCGACGCGACGGGACAGGGCGACGGGACGGGACAGGGCGACGCGACGGGACGGGACAGGGCAACGCGACGGGACAGGGCGACGCGACGGGACGGGACAGGGCGACGCGACGGGACAGGGCGACGGTACGGGACAGGGCGACGCGACGGGACAGGGCGACGGGACAGGGCAGGGCGACGCGACGGGACAGGGGGGGGAACAGGCGGGCGCGACGCGACGGGGGGAACAGGCGCGACGCGACGGGGGGAACGGGCGCGACGCGACGGGGGGAACGGGCGCGACGCGACAGGGGGAACGGGCGCGACGCGACGGGGGAGATGATGCTAGGCTCGGTACTAGGCGCGGTAACAACTAAACTGGTACGAACGAGAGGTAGGATCAGGCTCGGGAGGTACGAACGGAGAACGGAGGAACGGGATCCCACAGGATCCTAACCTAGCTGATACCATGTCAGAATGAGGAATGGATGTTGCATTGATGTTGGTTGGGGTACATATGACAAACGCTAACTTCTGTACCCCCTAAGACAAACCTCACTACAGGCTACAACATTCGACATCCACCTCCATTGATGCGGGCACACTGGGTCTAGAAGATGAAACGTGCCAATACAAAGTAGCTGGCAAACCCTTACTGTTGCAGTGCGACTCAAATGTAAAGCACAGTACTAGCATGTCAGCAGATAAAATAAATCTAATATATTCACAAAACGACCAACAATACAAGATTTGAGGATAAGCAATGGCTGCTAGAACAATCAATGGGTAATGTGAGAGCAAGGAGGTGTCTACTCTGACTGCCTACTTTCATGCACCTCCAGTCCATCCAGACAGACCTCATTCTGGTCCAGATTGAATCACGCAAAAGTCTCCTCTTTAGACTTTCCATGTCTCCGACTGCCTATACTCCCTCCAGGGATATTTCTTCTGGGAAAATAATGGACTCCCAGCAGCAGCAAGTGACCGTTTCCAGTCATTCTCTTTTCTTGCACAATAGAAGTGCCAGATTTTGGCATTCAAGGCTCAGTGGTAACGCTTGACGAGGTTTCTGCAACGGCTCTTTCCGTGAAGGTGACTCTGCCTGCAAATGCTCTCTGAACTGCTGCTTCCAGGCTCTCCTTCAGCAAATTCTCCCTGTCAACATCCTCGATAAGGTCACATCCCTGTACAAGTAAGTCCTCCTTATATCGAGTGCTGCCAGCGATGTCTGCTTGGACGTCCTCGTACAGATTCCGCACCGACTTGCGTGAAGCGCGGTACTTATGTACGAGCCGGCGTAAATTTCTGAGCCGTTGCATCCACTGCTTCTTTGAACATTGCTCTTGAGCTGCACGCTGGCGTTTAACTGAAACGGAAACCGTCAACAGATAATGCAGGCAGGGGGTTGGGTCAATAAACGAACGGCTCAGGCTTACAAACAGGGTTTAAACGTCTAACTAAGACGGGTGCCGAAGACAAAGCTGCTAAAATGCTTCGCTGGGTGGAGTATAATAATTAGAAAAACGGAATGCTATTAAATGAAGGGATTGGATGTAACAGGACTCACTTTGCCACGCGTGCCCGTTATCGCGCTTTGCCGCCATGAGTAGACGCATGCGAAGACACGCGGAACGCATGAAGAGCGTCGGATTCCGGAATGGGACGGAGCGATCGGCTAGACGATGAAGCTGTGCAATCTGCCGGGTTTGACCTCCGTTGAGGGAGACTCCGTTAGGATACCCTCCGTTGAAATCAAGTTCAACTGCGACGAGCGCCATGGTAAACCTCTAAACCTTTCAACGAATCAATCAACAAATTAAGGTGGGATTGTAGCTGAAAGAATAGATACTAATCAGGCCATGATCGTGTGAAGCGTAATGATCGAAGAGCAGCTGCTTTCAGGCTACCATAGGGAGAGAACGGAAGAGATATGGCTTCATTTCTGAACATCATCCAGCCTAATAAATACTAAAGGAATGAGCGATCACAAACCCATGGTGGTTGAGAGTTTATGGATGGATCAATCGTTCAGACATGGTATGCTTGGGTGCTTTTGCTAGTTCTGGCGATTATGTGGAAGCAGGGAACCCAGCAAGACAGGATTTATGGAAACGAATTCTGTCATCGGTAAGGTCAAGGACCAGAAAGCGTCAGCTCCACGGAAGGTGGAAATTTGGCGTGGCGGATGGGGAAGGGGAGGGGGGACGGGGAAGAGAGTGCTTGGCTGCAGAGACAGGGTGCTGTAGGTTTTGGGGGTGTGCAGGGGAGTGAGGAAGTGAGGGAGAGGTCGCGTGCGCTTCAAGTTCTCCCGACAAGTCCCGACTCCCGACCTCCGTTGACCATGCAGAGGCCGCGCGGATAGCTCCCTTCCGCGCAAGTTTCTCAGTGATTGACAAGATTGGATGGGCGAGCCGCGGGATGTCCCAGGCCACACATTTTTGGCGGCTCTCTGGGTTCAGGGTTTGTGGAAATGCGATTGAGCTGGAACATTTTATGAAACGTGGTGCGGTTCCTAGTGTTTATCTTTTATCAGCTGAAAGTGTATCGAGGATATCGCGTGCCTAGCGTAACCCGGGCGTGTGACATCTCCACGAAAACCACACTTCAAAACGAAGTTCGCCGACATTCCAGTTTCCATTCGCCACGCACAAGCTTCAGATTCTTTGCCCCGAACCCGCCACCTCGACATGTATCCACGTGGATCCCCGACACGGTGACGCCAAATGTGGTCCCCCGGACCCCCGCTGGGTCGCAGATGTGCAATCCAGATCGGTGGTCCCACCCACCCCATCAGCTTCCTGGTTTCGCTCACTCGTCCAGCTCACCCGATTGGACCACAGGGAACTCCAGCTCATGACCACCATTTCTCATGCAGAGTGCCCAGGCAATCCAACCAGAACCAGAGTCTGCATTTCCAGATTTCTGAAATCTTGTTTTGCTACAGGCAAGGCAGAAGAGATTCCTGTGACTTGCAAAAGTGCTTGGATCGCTGCTCGCTAATTACCACGCTATACAGCGTGATAGTCTTGCTCTCTGGTTTGGTATTTCCGAGCGAGATAGTTTCCTTGCGTGAATTGCGTAGCGTTCCGATTCGATCAGGTACATTACCATTGTCCGTCACCGCTGGAAGTTTCCCCGACCTGACCTCAGATCGACTCTGACGTTAGCGTTTCCCCTTTGCAGAGCCATGGCGAACCCGTACCAGCGCTTGCTGACCGAGCTGCCGAACCCTGATGGCGGCTCCTTTGGCTCGTATTACAGCCTCCCCGCGCTCAACGACCCTCGCATCGGTACTTACTGATACGATCCCTTATGTTTTTTCTTATTTCTTTCGCCAATATATATTCAAACTTCCGTTTTCATGACTCGTTCCACCTGATGTCTGTTTCTTTGCCATGCAGATGAGCTGCCAATCTCCATTCGGTATCTTTTGGAGTCCGCCATTCGCAACTGCGATAATTTCCAGGTCATGGAGAAGGATATCGAAAAGATCCTGGACTGGGCCAACACCTCCCAGCACCAAGTCGAGATCCCGTTCAAGCCTGCGCGTGTCATCCTGCAGGTTCGTACTCGCTTCTCTCGTGTTGTTCGCCCTTTTTCGTTAAATTTAGTCGAATTTGTCGTCAGATTGCGCCGTGTCGCGTGTTGCATTTCTTTGTGTATCAGGCCTGACGACTTTGTGTGTGGGAATTTCTGTGCCGTTACTGTTTGATCAGGATTTCACTGGCGTTCCCGCTGTTGTGGACCTTGCTGCGATGAGGGACGCCATGAAGGAGTCTGGCGGCGATCCGAATGCCATCAACCCTCAGGTGCCGTTCAATGATTGAAACTAATTATGCTGTTTTCTGTTGCTTTGACTCACCTAAGATTCAACATCAATTCGGCTCATGCTATCGCTTTTCACGCACATGTTGAACTTCATTAAAGCTGTACCGTTTGAATCTGTGAACTTGCTGCTGGTACGCGCCTAATGTTAATTACCGGCTCAATGCCATCCAATTATAGGTGCCTGTAGATCTGGTTGTCGACCATGTTTGCAATGCAGGAGCTTTCATCAACTCTGCAGCCTCCAGCTTTCCCTCGTTTTGAGAACCTTAGCCCTCATTCAGGTCTCAATTCTGTCCTACCGCAGGTCTCTGTGGATCTTATGATCGTCCTCTCGGTGCAAGTGGATTACGTAGGGGCGTTCAACGCGGTGAGCCTTCTGAGGCACCTCCAAATCTGTCCAACCCGTCCCTCTATTCCCTCCCCCCCCGCAACCCCCCCCCCCCCCCCCCCCCCTGCAAACCTCGCCCTTCTCCCCACTCCCCCCACCAGGTGCCAGTGGATCTGGTGATCGGCCACTCGGTGCAGGTGGACTACGGGGGGGTATCCAACACGCTGAGCCTTCTGAGGCGCCTTGGAGTCAATTCTGTCCATCCCGCGCTTTCCCTCCCCCCTCTTCCCCTTCCCCTCCTCCCCCCTTTCCCCCACCAGGTTCCCGTGGATCTGGTGATCGACCACTCGGTGCAGGTGGACTACGCGGGGGCGTCCAACGCGCTGAGCCTCAACATGGAGCGCGAGTTCGAGCGCAACAGGGAGAGGTTCGCGTTTCTCAAGTGGGGCTCCAAGGCCTTCAGCAACATGCTCGTGGTCCCGCCTGGCGCTGGCATCGTGCACCAGGTGCGTTTTCTGGGTTTCAAGGTCTTCAGCAACAGGGAGAGGTTCCAAGGTCCTCAAGTGGGGCTCCAAGGAGTTCAGCAACATGCTCGTCGTGCCGCCTGGAGCTGGCATTGTTCACCAGGTGCGTTCTCTTGGTTAGCCTGCTCTTTCAGTGGGGTTCTTCGAAGTGCCTGGCGCTGGCATCATGGACCAGCTCAGTGCCTTGCTGATCCCTGGGGGGGGGGTCTTTCAGGATGTTTTTTGGATTACCTGAAATTGGCATCGAGCACCAGTTAACTGCCCTCGCGGCTTTGGGGGAAAGCTCTCAGGATGGTCTTTGGAGGACTTGGGGATGGCATCACGCACCAGGTGAGTCTCCTCGAATGACCTGGCCCTGCCATCGTGCATCGGGTGATGGCGCTGGCTGTTTTTGAAAGGGGCGCTCAGGATGGTTTGTTTGAGTACCTGCTGTTGGCATCATGCACCAGGTGACTTCTCTGGCTTCACCTGATCGCTCGTGATATGTACAGGATTACATCACTGGTGGGAAGAATTCATCCCCTTTCTTGCTCACATTGCATTGAGAAAAATGGGCATTGGCAGTGTATGTGCGAAGCGCAGGTGAACCAGCAGTACCTTGCGCAAGCGGTGGTGATGGTCATCAACAGGCTCCTTTTTTTTTTTCAGAACTCCCTGAAATTTTAGTGACGGTCGCATGTCCCTGCATTGCATGTGCAGGTGAATCTGGAGTACCTGGCACGGGTGGTGATGGACATCAACGGGCTGCTCTACCCGGACAGCGTTGTTGGCACCGACTCCCACACCACCATGATCGACGGGCTCGGCGTCGCAGGCTGGGGCGTGGGGGGCATCGAGGCCGAAGCAGCCATGCTCGGGCAGGCTCTTCAGTTTTCCAGGATTTCCACCAAATAGCACTGTCGCTTGTTCCTGTGGTGCATGTGCAGGTGAATCTGGAATATCTCGCACGGGTGGTGATGGACATCAACGGGCTGCTCTACCCCGACAGCGTTGTCGGCACCGACTCCCACACCACCATGATCGACGGGCTCGGCGTCGCAGGCTGGGGCGTGGGGGGCATCGAGGCCGAAGCAGCCATGCTCGGGCAGGCCATGAGCATGGTCCTCCCGCAAGTCGTGGGCTTTAAGCTCACGGGAAAACTCCAGCCGGGAGTTACTGCCACGGACCTCGTCCTCACGTGTACGCAGATGCTGAGGAAGCACGGCGTGGTGGGGAAATTCGTGGAGTTTTACGGGGAGGGGACGAGGGAGCTGTCTCTGGCGGACCGGGCGACGGTGGCGAATATGTCGCCAGAGTACGGGGCGACGATGGGGTTCTTTCCTGTGGATTCAGTGACGCTGCAGTATCTGAGGGTGACCGGGAGGGATGAGACGAAGCTGAAGCAGATTGAGACGTACATGCGCGCGAACAATCTGTTCATGGACCATACCACTGTGAGTTGACAATCTTTTGTTTCAGCTGTGTATGCTGATTAGCACGGGGAGGGGACGAGGGAGCTGTCTCTGGCGGATCTGGCGACGGTGGCGAATATGTCGCCTGAGTACGGGGCGACGATGGGGTTCTTTCCTGTGGATTCGGTGACGCTGCAGTATCTGAGGGTTACCGGGAGGGATGAGACGAAGCTGAAGCAGATCGAGATGTACATGCGCGCGAACAATCTGTTCATGGACCATACCACTGTGAGTTGACAATCTTTTGTTTCAGCTGTGTATGCTGATTAGCACGGGGAGGGGACGAGGGAGCTGTCTCTGGCGGACCGGGCGACGGTGGCGAATATGTCGCCAGAGTATGGGGCGACCATGGGGTTCTTCCCGGTGGATTCGGTGACGCTGCAGTACTTGAGGGTTACGGGGAGGGATGAGACGAAGCTGAGGCAGATTGAGGCGTACATGCGCGCCAACCACCTGTTCATGGACCATGCAACCGTGATTTTGACTGTAGCTTCTCAAATTTGCATGCTGATCAGCCTAAACACCCCATCATGGACCATGGCACTGTGACAGGCATGTCTCATTGGCTCACCTGCAATCTACTCCCCTGCACCTTCCCCCCAGCACCTTCTCCCCTGCACCTTCCCCCCTGCACCTTCCCCCCTGCACCTTCCCCCCTGCACCTTCCCCCCTGCACCTTCTCACCTGCACCTTCTCACCTGCACCTTCCCCCCTGCACCTTCCCCCCAGCACCTTCCCCCCTGCACCTTCCCCCCTGCACCTTCCCCCTTGCACCTTCTTTCCTGCACCTTCTCACCTGCACCTTCTCACCTGCACCTTCTCACCTGCACCTTCTATCTTCATCCTGATTCAGCGCATCTGCCTGTGTCTTTCTGTGGATCCTTGCGTGTATCACCTCTCCCCGCCAGGCTGGTGTGTTTAGAGTCGACTCAAAACCCACCTGCACCTTCTACCTCCATCCTGATTCAGCGCGTTTGCCTGTGTCTTCCCTGTGGATCCTTGTGTGCATCACCTGTTTCCCCCCCAGGCCAGAAAGGCAGACTTATGAGTTGACTCAAAAGTCAACGTCTACCTTCGTCCTGATTCAACGCGTTTGCCTCTGTCTTCCCCGTGGATCCTTGCGTGCATCACCTTTTCCTACCCCAGGTTGGAGAGGCGGAGGCCAAGTGCAAGTACTCGCCCTCCTTGGAGCTAGGCCCTGCTACTGTGGAGCCCTGCGCCTTTGGAGAACATACCTCTTAAAGTATCCTCCGTATTGCCCTTTTATCCTTGCTTTTCCTGTCATCCGTGTCATCTGTGTCATCTACCAGGCTGGAGAGGCGGAGGCCAAGCGCAAGTACTCGTCCTACTTGGAGCTAGACCTCGCCACGGTGGAGCCCTGCGTCTCTGGACCCAAGAGGTGGGGGCGACGTGGCTTTCTAAACCCAGGAAACGAGCAAGCAATATCACTGCTCAATTTGTTGTTTTCATCATGCATGAGTGCTCCGCCATCTCTAATTGTTCTCCTTCTCCTGTTGATGCGCCTCTTCCCCTTCCCCTCATTGTATTTCCCGTGGCTGGTTACCTGCTTTGCTTGGTTCCTTGCAGGCCGCATGACCTTGTTGACTTTTGAGTCGACTTTTGAGTGGAGTTGACTTTCGAAAAGTTTTCCCCTTCCCCTCACTCTATCTCCCGTGGCTGGCTGGTTACCTGCTTTGCTTGGTTCCTTGCAGGCCGCATGACCGAGTGACTTTGAAGACCATGAAGTCCGACTGGCACGCTTGCCTCGACAACCCTGTCGGTTTCAAGGCAAGTCTCTTCATCATTCCAGCACGTCTCTTTCATGTTCCCACCTAGCCCTCTTCCCAATCTCAAACCCATCACCTACACTAGTAGTGACTGTGCTATGCTGTCCCGTTTCTACCCAACTTCATGCCCTCGCCCATCCCCAAGGCTTTGCCATTCCCAACGCGCTGCAGGGCAAGGCAGTGAAGGTGCTGCTAAACCCTAGACAAAGTGGAATCCGAGCTGGTGCACGGCTCTGTTGCTGTCATCGCCGCCATCACCTCCTGCACCTCCTGCACCAACACGTCCAACCCGTCTCCTCCTTGTGCCCCTGTGCTGTGCCCTCTCTCCATTTCCCCAGGGTTTTGCTATCCCTAAGGCCCAGCAGGGCAAGGCAGTGAAGGTGCTGCTAAACCCTAGACAAAGTGGAATCCGAGCTGCTGGTGCACGGCTCTGTTGTTGTCATCGCTGCCATCACCTCATGCACCAACACGTCCAACCCCTCCTTGTGCCTGTCTCTTGCCTCAACTTCCCTGTAGGTGACTGACTGACTGTGCTGTTTCTGCCTCTACCCCACTCACTGCCCTCTCCCGTCCACAGGGCTTCGCCATCCCCAAGGCGCAGCAGGACAAGGCAGTGAAGGTGACTCTCAAGGAAGGGGCGGAGTGTGAGCTGAAGCACGGATCCGTGGTCATTGCTGCCACGTCAACCCCTCCTTGTGCCTGTGCTGTGCTCTCTCTCCATTTCCACAGGGCTTCGCGATCCCTAAGGCCCAGCAGGACAAGGCAGTGAAGGTGACTCTCAAGGAAGGGGTGGAATCCGAGCTGAAGCACGGATCCGTGGTCATTGCTGCCATCACCTCCTGCACCAACACGTCCAACCCGTCGGTGATGCTGGCGGCAGCGATCGTGGCGAAGAAGGCGAGTGAGAGGGGGCTCCAGGTGAAGCCGTACGTGAAGACGAGCCTGGCCCCTGGCTCCAACGTCGTCACCAAGTACCTGGAGGCCAGGTGAGGGGGGCCGGTGGCTGTGTGCTGTTCCTGGTTAGCCAGGGGGTTCTGGGTTTATGCAAGGGGGCGTAGGTGATGCTGGCGGTAGCCATTGTGGCGAAGAAGGCGAGTGAGAGGGGGCTGCAGGTGAAGCCGTATGTGAAGACGAGCCTGGCGCCTGGCTCCAACATCGTCACCAAGTACCTGGAGGCCAGGTGAGAGGGGTTTAGGGTTGGGGTCTTTGGGGTTGTGTTTCCAGTCAGAAGGTTCTGGGTTTAGGCAAGGGTGTAAGTAAGGAAGCATCTAGCTGCAGCATAGGGAGAATGAAAGGGGGCTCCAGGTGAAGCCATACGTGAAGACGAGCCTGGCCCCTGGGTCCAACGTCGTCATCAAGTACCTCGAGGCCAGGTGAGGAGCTCGGGTTGTGTGTTCCTGGTAGGAAGGTTCTGGGTTTATGCAATTGGCTGAAGGAAGGAAGCATCTGGCAGCAACATAGACAGAACCCGTCACTTACGCCTGCATTTTATGCTTCGAGAACCGACCCACTTTTTGCGCTTCCTTCTGTTGATTTTCCCCTCTCTCTGCAGTGGCATCCTCCCGGCTCTCGAGTGTCATGGCTTGCTCGTGGTGAATTTTGCTGCACCACGTGCAATGGGAGCTCATTCTGCCTCTTTTCTTTCCTCCTCTCCGTCTTTGTTTCCCTCGTTCCTCTCTCTGTGTGCAGTGGTCTTCTCCCAGCTCTGGAGGGGCAGGGCTTCCACGTGGTGGGCTATGGCTGCACCACGTGCATTGGGAACTCAGCCATCCTCTGGACCCTCCTCCTCTTGATCCTTATTTCCCCCTATCTTTGTGCAGTGGCCTCCTGCCAGCTCTGGAGGGCCAGGGCTTCCACGTGGTGGGCTATGGCTGCACCACGTGCACTGACTCATAACCCTCCGCTCCCTCTACCCGCCTTTCCTCCTCTTCCCTCTCTTTTATGCAGTGGACTCCTGCCAGCTCTGGAGGGCCAGGGCTTCCACGTGGTGGGCTATGGCTGCACCACGTGCACTGACTCATAACCCTCCGCTCCCTCTACCCGCCTTCCCTCCTCTTCCCTCTCTTTTATGCAGTGGACTCCTGCCAGCTCTGGAGGGCCAGGGCTTCCACGTGGTGGGCTATGGCTGCACCACGTGCATTGGGAACGCATGCGTCTCCTTTCCCTTTTCTCTCCTTCCCTCCTCTCTCTTGTGTCTTCAGTGGCCTCCTCCCGGCTTTGGAGGGCCAGGGCTTTCACGTGGTGGGCTATGGCTGCACAACGTGCATTGGGAACTCGGGGGAGATTCACGAGGCCGTTGGACAGGCCATCGCTGACAACGGTATGTTCAGCAGTGGCATACCCTACAGAGGCCCAAGCTAGAGTTCATCTCATCTATTCCTACTCATGCTTTCCGATAAGCATATCCGGATAACGCCACGTGCATTGGGAACTCGGGGGAGATTCACAAGGCCGTTGGACAGGCCATTGCTGACAACGGTACGTATGCCACGGTTGACGCTGAAAGGGTGTAGCCTGGCAATTATCTTGGCAAAAAACTGCTCTCTCACGTACATCCATTCACCAGAGCCCATTTTGAGACGTCTCAAAACTGCTCTCTCACGTGCATCCATTCACCAGAGCTAACCTCTTCTCTCACTTCCCCCCTTCCCCCTCTGTTTCTTCTGTCCCTCTACACAACATCGGGCCTGGTGGCTGCAGCGGTACTTCCTGGTAACCACAACTTCGAGGGTCGCTTTCATCTTCTCACTCGGACTGACTTTTGAGAATTCTCAAAAGTCATTCCAATATGGCTGCAGTGGTACTTCCTGGTAACCACAACTTCGAGGGTCGCATTCATATTCTCACTCGGACCAAACCCTCCTCCCTTCTCTCTTCCCTTCAACCCACACATCAACAGACCTTGTCGCAGCAGCAGTGCTGTCTAGTAACCACGACGTTGGGGGCTGTGCCCATCCTCTTACCCAAGCCTACCCTCCTTCCTTTTCCCTTCGCTGTTTCCCCCCTTCTCTTCCCCTCCATCTCGCCCACGAATCAACAGACCTGGTGGCGGCAGCGGTGCTGTCCGGTAACCGTAACTTTGAAGGGCGTGTGCATCCCCTCACCCGAGCCAACTACCTTGCATCCCCGCCCCTCGTCGTGGCATACGCGCTTGCTGGCACGGTGAGTAGAATGTGCTACTGTCATGGGTGTATGCCTTTGTTCCCCTCACCCGAGCCAACTACCTTGCATCCCCGCCCCTCGTCGTGGCATACGCGTTTGCTGGCACGGTGAGTAGAATGTGCTACTGTCATGGGTGTATGCCTTTGTTCCCCTCACCCGAGCCAACTACCTTGCATCCCCGCCCCTCGTCGTGGCATACGCGCTTGCTGGCACGGTGAGTAGAAAGTGCTACTGTCATGGGTGTATGCCTTTGTTCCCCTCACCCGAGCCAACCACCTTGCATCCCCGCCCCTTGTCGTGGCATACGTGCTTGCTGGCACGGTAAATTCAGATTGCTTTCTGGCTGGTGGCTGGAATTCATGCTGTGTCGTTGTCAGAAACAACCCTTGTTAGAATCAACTGTCTACCTTGCATCCCCGTCCGCCGCCGCGGCATAGCTTTTGCTGGCATGGTAGGTGTTCAGCTGGCTTACTGTTTCTCCTGTATCACTCCCCTTTATTGTCACACGCGCCCATGTTTCTTTCGTTCATTACATGACCACAATTTCTCAGGTGGACATTGACTTTGAGACGGAGCCCATCCGCGCGGACGAGGGTGTGAAGAGGTGTTTCTGAAAGACGTTTTCCTTCCCTTCCACATGCACATGGTTCATTCATTCACAACATGACAATCTTGCCATTCCTCCCCTTTTTCTTTTTTGCGTGCATGGTTCCTCCATCCATCACATGACCACATTCTCAGGTGGACATTGGCTTCGAGACGGAGCCAATCAGCACGGACGAGGGTGTGAAGAGGTGTTTCTGAAAGACGTTTTCCTTCGCTCCCACATGCACATGGTTCATTCACATCATGACAATCCTCACAGGTGGACATTGACTTCGAGGCGGAGGTTATTGGCACGGACAAGGACGGCAAGGAGGTGTTCCTCCGAGACATCTGGCAACATAAGCCGCACCAGGCCCTACCAAACGTCTCCCCTCTTTCTCCCCTGCACGTGTTGTCAATTCACATCATGACCACATTCTCAGGTGGACATTGACTTTGAGACGGAGCCCATCGGCACTGACAAGGACGGCAAGGAGGTGTTTCTGAGAGACAGAGACATGTGTCTAACATAAGCCCCACCAGGCCCAACAGATCGCCTCCTCTCATCCCCCCTCCTCTCGTTCCCCCCTGTGCACATGTTTCATTCATCCATCTCAGGTGGACATTGACTTTGAGACGGAGCCCATCGGCACTGACAAGGATGGCAAGGAGGTGTTTCTGAGGGACATCTGGCCCAGCAAGGAGGAGGTGGCCGAGGTGCGTGCATCTGAACTGAATCTGAGGCGTGTGTAATTTTTACATGAATGGAGAGCCTACAAGGCAGGTTTGAGGCGCCTCTGTAAGTGTTGTCACCAACGCCCTGTCCCCTGCTTCCTCCCCTAGTTTCCAATCCATATTTGCTAAAACGTCCAACCCTGGCCCCTTCAGCTGCAGTTTTTCCAGTCGGTGGACAAGGCGGTGAAGGAAGGCGCCACCAACGCCCCCATCAACCCCTCAACACCCCTCTGTTCCCTATCATCACCCCTTTATCCCATCAAACCTGATTCTTAAACCCTGGCAGGTGGTGGAGAGGGCGGTCCTCCCACAGTTCTTCCAGTCAGTCTACAAGGCAGTGAAGGAGGGCACCACCAACGCCCTCTGGAACCCCTGACCACCCCTCTTACTCCTATTTTTACCATTGTGAATCACTAAATCCTTCTCCAGGTGGTTGAAAGGGCGGTTCTCCCTCAGTTCTTCCAGTCAGTCTACAAGGCAGTGAAGGAGGGCGCCACCAACGCCCTCTGGAACAGCCTGCCTGCGGAGAACGAGCCTCTGTACCGCTGGGAACCGTTCTCCACCTACATCCACGACCCGCCCTACTTCAAGAACTTCCCCCGCGACCCCCCTGGTGGCAAGGACGTAAAGGACGCCTTCTGCCTGCTCAACGTGGGCGACTCCATCACCACCGATCATATTTCCCCTGCAGGTGGGTGCTTGGAAGAGTGTATGTGTTTGAGAGTGTGGTACACGTGTGTCTACAGTGAGGGTTGGCGTTGTGGGTTGTGGGGTGGCAAGGACGTGAAGGACGCCTTCTGCCTGCTCAATGTGGGCGACTCCATCACCACCGACCACATCTCCCCTGCAGGTGGGTTTTGTTTTGCGACCCCTCTCTTCCTCCCTCTCCTCTTCCTCCCTCTCCTCTTCCTCCCTCTCCTCTTCCTCCCTCTCCTCTTCCTCCCTCTCCTCCACCTACATCCACAACCCGCTCTACTTCAAGAGCTTCCCCCGCAACCCCCCTGGTGGCAAGGACGTGAAGGACGCGTTCTGCCTGCTGAATCTCGGGGAAAAGACTTCAACTCGTATGGTAGCAGGCGGGGCAATAACGAGGTCATGACTCGTGGCACGTTTGCCAACACCTCTGTCCCCAACTCCCACCCTGTCCTCCCTTCTGTGCTGCTCCCTGTGCGACTCGTTGGGCACCCCCCTCTGCCTCCCCTCCTCCCATCACACCAGGGAGCATCCACAAGGACAGCGCTGCAGCCAAGTATCTCACAGAGAGAGGCGTTGCTAGGAAGGACTTCAACTCGTACGGCAGCAGGCGGGGCAACGGCGAGCTGGCATTGTAGGGCGACCCTTCCTCCACCTCTCCTCCCACGTCCTCCCTCCCATCACACCAGGGAGCATCCACAAGGACAGCGCTGCAGCCAAGTATCTCACAGAGCGTGGAGTGGCACGCAAGGACTTCAACTTGTACGACAGCAGGCGGGGCAACGACGAGGTCATGACTCACATCCTTGGGGTGTATTTTGAGGCGCCACAAAATGCATGACTCACATCCTTGGGGTGTATTTACAGGCGCCTCAAAATACATGACTCACATCCTTGTCCACAATTTCCACCCTCTCCACCCCCCCTCCCGTGCTCCAGGAAGCATCCACAAGGACAGTGCTGCAGCCAAGTACCTCACAGAATGGGGCGTGGCGCGAAAAGACTTCAACTCGTATGGCAGCAGGTGGGGCAACGACGAGGTCATGACCCGCGTGTGCACTTCCTCGTGCGCCTCCCTCTGGTCCCCCCCCCCCTGTGCTGCTCCAGGGAGCATCCACAAGGACAGTCCTGCAGCAAGGTATCTCACAGAAAGGGGCGTTCCCAGGAAGGATTTCAACTCATATGGCAGCAGGCGGGGCAACGACGAGGTCATGACTCGCGGCACGTTCGCGAATATCCGGCTGGTGAACAAGCTTGCGGGAGGAGAGGTGGGACCCAAGACGGTGCATTTGCCCTCTGGAGAGAAGATGAGTGTCTTCGATGCTGCCATGGTGAGTGGACAGGGTTATTAGCAGATTGTAACAGGGTTACCAGCTAGAAGGGGCACGTTTGCCAACATCCGGCTGGTGAACAAGCTGGCAGGCAGGGAGGTGGGACCCAAGACGGTGCACCTGCCCTCAGGGGAGAAAATGAGCGTCTTTGATGCTGCCATGGTGAGTCGAGATAGGGTTAGTGTGAGGGAGGAATAGGGTTACCAGCACGCTGGTGAACAAACTGGCAGGCCGGGAGGTGGGACCCAAGATGGTGCACCTGCCTTCTGGAGAGAAGATGAGCGTCTTCGATGCTGCCATGGTGAGTGGGGTTGCTAGGGTGTAACAGGGTTACCACCAGGAGCTGGAGATAGGGCTATCAGCAGGAAAGATGGGCACACTTACTGTCTCTTTCGACCTCACTGTCACACTCACACTCACTGTCACTGTCACTGTCCAATGTATGCCTTAACTGTATGTGTCTTTGCTCCCTTCTTTTGCCCGTGAGCAGAGGTACAAGGCGGAGGGTTATCCCACCATTGGCTGGCAGGGGCGGAGTATGGAAGCAGCTTGTATGTCTGTCACACTCACACTCACTGTCACTCTCGTCTCCAATGTGTGCCTGCATGTGTCTTTGCTCCCTCTGTGAGTCCATGAGCAGAGGTACAAGGCAGAGGGACATCCCACGATAGTCCTGGCAGGGGCGGAGTATGGAAGCGGCTCTTCCCGTGACTGGGAGTGTGATTGTCCCTGTTATTAATGGGTCTGTTTGCCTGTCTGTTCGTCTGTATGTGTGTCTCCCTCTCCCTCTGTGTGTCCATGAGCAGAGGTACAAGGCGGAGGGCCATCCCACCATTGTGCTGGCAGGGGCGGAGTATGGAAGCGGCTCTTCCCGTGACTGGGCTGCCAAGGGACCGTATCTGCAGGTATGGCAATGCGATGCGAGGGTGTGCCTGTGTGTGTGCGTGTGTGCACGCAAGGGAGTGTGTCAAGAGACAGTATTTGCAGGTGTTTAGCATGTAAGGGCATAAACGCAAGTGCTCATACGTGCTTACAAAGGCTAGGAAATCAAGTTTGTCAAGCTGAACTGGAGAGTCCGGAATCAGACTGGCATGAGGGATCATTCCCCCCTGCTTTATCCCCCTCAATTGCCATCCTCCCATCCTGTTTCCTTGGTCTCACTGCGTCCTCTCTGTTTCACCTCATCCCAGGGTGTGCGAGCCGTCATCTCTGTTTCCTTTGAGCGCATCCACTGCAGCAACCTGGTGGGGATGGGCATCATCCCGCTCTGCTTCAAGCCCCTCACCAAGCTCCCTCACTCTTGCCACCACCTTTTCTGCCTTGTCATACACACCTACAGGGAGTGCGGGCGGTGATCTCCGTCTCATTCGAGCGCATTCACCGCAGCAACCTGGTGGGGATGGGCATCATCCCGTTGTGCTTCAAGCCCGGCCAAAACGCCGAGACGCTGGGGCTCACCGGCAAGGAGCGCTTCTCCTTCTCCCTGCCGCCGGTGGATCAGATCCAGCCCGGGCAGGACGTGGTGGTTTCCACGGACAACGGAAATTCGTTTACCTGCACGCTGCGCTTTGATACTGAGGTGAGCACGACTGGCCGCGCTTCGATTCTGAGATGACAAGAGGATTCTCCTTCTCCCTGCCGCCGTTGGATCAGATCCAGCCCGGGCAGGACGTGGTGGTTTCCACTGACACTGGGAAGAGCTTCACCTGCACCCTGCGCTTCGACACAGAGGTGAGAATCAGAGTCACCAAGGGTCTGTCTACATGTATAGGCCTAAGGAAGGGGAGGCAGGGAGCAATTCTCCTTCTCGCTGCCGTCGGTGGATCAGATTCAGCCCACAAAACATAACGGTTTCCACGGACAACGGAAAGTCGTTAACCTGCACGCTGCGTTTTGATACTGAGGTGAGCACGACTGGCCGCGCTTCGATTCTGAGATGACGAGAGGATTCTCCTTCTCCCTGCCGCCGGTGGATCAGATCCAGCCTGGGCAGGACGTGGTTGAGTCAACCGACAACGGCAAGTCGTTTACCTGCATGCTGCGCTTCGACACGGAGGTGAGTACCGTAGCCACGCAGAGTATACATGTGAAGGCCCGCAGGGAAGGAGGTGGGGGTTGGTAGTGGATTCTCCTTCTCGCTGCCGCCGGTGGATCAGATCCAGCTCGGTCAAGACGTGGTGGTTTCCACCGATTGTGGAAGTCGTTCACCTGCACCCTGCGCTTCGACACGGAGGTGAGCCGTGGAAGCACACAAGGTGTACATGTACAGACAATGAGGGTATGCGCCAAGCAGGCAAGCAGTCATGAAGGACTTTTGAGGCGCCTCAAAAGTCGCTTTCGACACAGAGGTGAGCCGTGGAAACCGATGAGGTGTACATGTACAGGCAATGAGGGTATGAGCCAAGCAGGCAAGCAGTCATGAAGGCAGAGAGTGCTTTTTTGTCTCCCTGTCGCCAGTGGATCGGATCAAGCCTGGCCACGCACAACGTGGATATGACTAAAAGTGAACCGAATCTTCCAAGTCAAAGTTGGTCTTGATGTTTCCGTGGTTTCTTTCTCCTGCTGTGCTGTGCGTGCAGCTCGAAAAGGCCTACTACAATCACGGGGGCATTCTGCACTTTGTGCTGCGTCAACTGCTGGCCAAGTCCACTGCTGCTTGAGTCGGTTGTTGAGCAATGAGCTCTATTACGCACGAATAGGATGGCTTACGCTTGAGAAACATGTGGAGTTGAGCGTGCTGTTACAGTGCATTGGAGGGGTACATCTCTCGTTGGTGTTTTTTGTTGTGGTAGCAAGACCTGGCTTGGAGAATACTGGAAGCAAGCAGCATGAGACATCATGATATGGATTTCATGCGTTCATTGCTTCCTGTTCACGCCCTGACTTTTGGTTATAGGGGTGACTGCTGATCATCATTCAAACGTAAGTAAGGGTACATTCCGCTGTGGACACATGTCCCAATCGATGTGTCCCAATCCCACTTATGCCGAGTCGCGATCAAATTTCTCGAATTGTATGTCCCAATCGATTGATGTATTGCGACTTTGGGCATCATCGCGACAATTATATGCGACCCACTGTGATTGGTCAACTTCCAACCTGGCACGTACCTACACTAACAGCACAAACACCGGCGATCCAGATCCGCGGAAGGGACTTGGTTATGTACGAGGTGGGCGAGGACAATATAGTACATGTCAGCGCTGTTGGGAACAAATAGTCTTATACGCCTCTGTCGTGTCGAAACTCAAGACACAAGCGAAGCAGCTCAAATCGAAGCACCGCGAGTCAACCCTCGGAGGTTAACGTAACCGCTGGAGGTTACGAGAAAGTCAAAGGTCAGCGACCTTTGACCTGACGCAGCGCAAGAGCAAGGACACACAACTGACTCGACATTGAGCAGTTGCTCGAGTCGCACTGTATCGAACCGCAACAGTAAAACAATTACAATTACGGTATGTTTCTTCATATTCTGTGTACTCATATATATATATATATATATATATTTATATATATATTCCTGTATCTCTTTGCTTTAATTAACTTACTTTGCCCTCACATACTAGCGCAAGGTGGTTCAAGGACTTTATTCAAACGCTTCCGCTACTACATCATTTACTCAGACTTTAACTCTATTAAAGATCCTAGGGCGTTCAGCCCAACATGGTATGAGAGTTGGTTAGAGTTAAAAATTTCTCTTCAACACTTAATACATCAAGAAGACATGTCTGCTAGAAAGGAGAGGAGCTCCTCCAACGGCTCTCCCGGTACTAGCCCTACTCCACCTCCTGCCTCTGGCCTACTAACAGAGGAAGGGACAACAACTAGACCAGCAGCTGGGTCTACGGAAACACCCGCGAACCAAGGAGCGGGCTTCGATCCAAGTATGATGGAGAAACTCTTCTCCTTCATGTCCTTCTACGAGCAGCATCAGCAAGTAGTATCTGCGCAATCAAACAACAGCAACAACAACAACAACGTGACGCCCATGAGTCTCGATGGCTCATCCTACGCACGCGGGAATCAACATCAACAACCTACCTTCGCTCCGTACAATCAGAATCCCAACCACTAGACCATTGGAATAAAATGGCTTGTTTCAGTAGCGGGTCAGTGCGCCCATAACCCCCTAGGCGAACGCGCCTGTAACCCTCTCCAGGATCAATCGGGCATCCACAATGCAGATCTACTGACACCCCCCCACACTGGGAGGCCCAGGACTAAGCACAGCGGCAACGGCCTACATGTGCATATACCGGGAAACGAACCCGAGACCGCTCTGATACCATGTCAGAATCCCAACCACTCAGGGCCTCAGATTCACTTTTAGGGTCGTCGACCCATCAGGGTACCCCTATGTAGAAACCCTGATTGACAGTGTTCCTAAAAAAAAAAGCCTGAAATATCAGTGTTGCCTTTGAAAAAAGGCTGATGCATCAGTGTTCAATAATATAAAAGGCTGTTATTACTAGAAATCTCTATTTTAATTAATAGGTCAGTAGCGGCCTTCCGAAACATTGCTAAGCTAACATGCCTCATGAATCATCACCAGCCGTGCTATCATCACTGCCCTTAGCCTTTGGTTTTTCTCTCTCATCCTCAGCTTGGGACACCAGTACGTGACAGTGCTCTGCTGCAGCACACACCCCGTCTTCACTTCTGCTTGCGACACATACACGTTGAAGCTGCAGGGGCAGGGTTTGGGGGAGGAACCTGATTGACAGGCAGGGTGAGGCAGGGAAAGAGAGAACAGGAGGGAGAGAGGAGGGAAGACTGGCATGGTTGGGGGGGAAACGACCGGGGGAGACAGGGAGTGGACGGAGTGCGGGGTAAAGGGAGCGGGGGAATGGACGGTGGGCGCGCGGGTCATGCGCGGGTCATGCCGTCGCGCAGCACGACGCTATGCGCGCCGCCCGCGACGCAGATGGCCTTTCAACCGCGGTTCGTGCTGGCGACGAGGCAGCCTTCGGTCGTCGCCATTAGCACGAAAAACCACGCGTCGTCGAGTCGTAGCGGGCCTGCGACGCCGACGGGCATCTCGCAGGCCCGCTACGATTCGACGACGCATGCGCTGCGGATCGCGTCGAACGGGAGCGATGTGTTCGGCGAGACTAGAGGAGGTTCGGCGGCGCTCGCAATGGGTTCGATTCCAGACAGCCCGCCGTTTCTGGTGCTGGTGGCGCCATGTAATAGTGCAGACGAGAAAGCACGAGAGGAATCTGGCTGAGAGGGAGGGAGAGAGAAACAGGAGGAAAAGAAACAAGAGAGATTAGATTGGAGGGAACGGGACCATCAGAGCTCGCCAGCACAGTCAACGGTGCAGAAACCCTCGCAGCCCTCCAGCACCACATGGTTGCCACATTCTGATTAGCCAACGCTTATGCTGCAGCGAAACTGCCCAATGGAGTGCTGGCACCGCAGGAATATGAGATTCCCGGTAATTGCGGGCAAATTCACACGGAACAAGTCAGAATTGCATTCAGTGGTAGTTTCATTACAACGTTGTGGAATCAGTGTACTTGGGAAAAAAAGTCTGAAATTTCAGTGTGGCCTAACAAAAAAGGCTAAAAGATCAGTCCCACAAAAATCCCAACACTGATTTTTCAGTGTAGGTAAAAAAACGACTGCCAAAATCAGGAATTTCAGGGTTTTTTTCCTGATATCTGAGGCCCTGCAACCACTAGACCATTGGGATAAAAGGGCTTGTTTTAGTAGCGGGTCAGTACGCCCATAACCCCTCAGGCGCACGCGCCTGTAACCCTCTCCAGGATCAATCGGGCATCCACAGTGCAGATCTACTGACACGTACGAGCCCCAGCGTGGCTCCGTCAGCTTCATGCCGCAACCACAACCTGCACCGGGACAAGAAAGAGCACTAGACGCACTACAAGTTCAGTCGCAATTCGCGCATGTTCTGAAACTACAAACGACAAAACCTTTCGATAGGAAGGATTTCTTTACCTGTTCGTTCGAATTCGAGCTGATGATGGAAGGAGTGCAGATCCTTGGCTTCTTCGACGGGTCCCTGCCATATCCAACAAACGGCACGCAGTATGAGAAGCAGCAGTACACCTATCAATCGATGATGGCGTACACTGTGAGAGTACGACGGCTTATGCCAGCTATGCTTGCTTGCCTCTACTTTATCATGCTATTTTTCTAGCATAGGATAATCATATGCATGCATGAATTGCTTGATTTCCTAGGCTAGGTGCTTTCCTATATTTTATTATAGTTATAGCTCTCAGAATCCCAACCACTAGACCATTGGGATAAAAGGGCTTGTTTCAGTAGCGGGTCAGTGCGCCCATAACCCCCCAGGCAAACGTGCCTGTAACCCTTCCCTAGGATCGATCGGGGATCACCAGTGGACCTCTGACAATAGCACCGAGCTAGGTTGCGTGCACCGAATTCTGGATTTTCGGTTGCCACCGAATTGCCTTCTACCGAATTCGGTAAGGATCTGTTCGGGACGCTTCGCGACCCGCGGAACCTTCGCGTAACACCTGGTTACGGGGCCTTGTGTCGAGCCTATATATAGCCTCGTGTTGTACCCAGGTGGACATTCAATTCAATTCAATTCAATTTGAATCATCTTTTCTGAGCTCGATCCCAGATCCTCACACTTGGTAATCAGAGCGGGTTTACACGCGAGGTCTTCAACCGCTTAGTTCCGGCCTTTAAAAACCGCGGGGGCGACGACGAAAGCGCCGATACGGGTATGTAAAACCAGTTCCGCGCAATTTTTCTAAGTCCCCCTCGATTCGGTTCTCGAACACCCCTCAGATTTACTGGTGGAAAGGTTGGAGTTTCGACCGTTCGATCGAGTTTCATCTCAACGGCCCAGAGAATTTCGCCCAAAAAAGTTGGAATTTGGAGCGTTGGATCGATTTTCTCCTCAACGGCCAAGATCGGACGCGAATTTCGCCTAAGGGAGATTTACGCAACCTACAGAATTCGCGCTCGTCGATTCTACAGTCAACTTGACTCGCAGTAAGTCGACCAGCACCTAGAATTCGATTATTTTCGTCGCGCATCTTCCTGTAAATCACCAAATGGAGGGCCAAGGCGACAACTACGCGACTACGAGCGACATCGCGAGCCTCCGCACCGACATGGAGCAGACGCAGGCGACGCTTCGTCGACTCGAGGCTTTTCTGACAAGCCAACCAGGGTTCGTCACCGCAGCAGCAGCGGCCACAGCAATTGCAGCACCGACAACTCCAGCAGCAGTGGCGACACCGACATTTCACGGACCAATGGCACCACTGTCGCCGAACCTCGAAGCAGCACGACCGAGGCTCCCGGAGGCGTTCGATCCAAGCGCGAAGGGATCCGACGTCCGGCGATTCGTGGCCACCCTCGAAATTTACTTCGAGGCCATTGGCTGTTCGACCTCGCAACACGACGCAACAAGGATTCGGGCGACACTGTTACGTGGACCGGCTCTCGAATGGATTTACTACACCGACGTAGCCCGCGGGGAGAAAACGTGGCAGCAGTTTCGGGCAGATTTAATCGAGCGTTTCGAACCAATTAATACAACCTACATGACGCGGCAGCAGATACACCGACACAAGCAATACAGTAGTGTAACACAGTACACGCAGCAGATGGAGTTACTGTTCAACCGCATCACCGACCTGACCGAAGGCGGAAA